TTATGAGAGTATTATGTCTGCTTTTCTATGATCATATCTTCAATATCGCAACTTCGGGTAATCCGCGGAAGTACTTGAATTTTTCTCAGGCACTTTTGATTTAACTGCAATAACTAGCTCATACTCGAAATGTGCCCGAACCAAATCTGCACAACGACGCCCTATACGCTCGCTGACCAAAGCGCAGGGCTTATGAGGAATAAAATGTTTGTACCTAAGCCATAACTTTATTGGAGATAAATCAGTACAATGTTCGGCAAAGTTGTAGAGCAATTTATTTAAAACAACTTCGTTGAATAGAAAAACATCAAATTTTCTATCTCTTAGTAAACCATAATGTACACTGTTTTTTATTAAGTCCCTTTGGGTTACCTAAAAAAACAGTTTTATTAATGAACTTTTTATACATTGCCAGGCACAGCATTTTCAAGCCGGAGGCGGCGGGTTCGATTGCTAGTCTGGTCGAGGAAATCTTTCGGGTTGGAAATTTTCTCGACTTCCCTGGACGTTGGCACACAATATACAAATTCATGCAATGATTGGCATGGAAAGCTCGGAATTAATAAATGACTGTGGAAGTGCTTCAAAAACACTAAGCTGAGAGCAGGCGAAAGCTCATTTAAAAGCAAGGTAGAAGAAGGTAATGATTTCTGGCAAATTATTTATTCTACACACTTTTAAAACTTTTGATGGTACACATATTTTCTGAAGCAACCAAGTTGCTATCTCTTTTATCGAGAGTGGTGGAAAGCTAAAAAAAATACTCCTTGGAAGACCTATTGAATACTCCCCAAAAGCTTCGTCCGACTTCTCTGGAAGTCAATTTGATCCACACGCTAAATCCAACTCCTTCAGGAAGTGTCAGCAGACTTTTCCATATATGTTTTTTTTCCAAATAACCTTGATTTCCTCCGGAAGTTTCTTCTGATTTCCTTTGAAAGATTCTTCAAGTTCTCGGATTTTTTTTTACTTTCTCTGGAAGATTCTTCCAATTTACTGATAATTTATTTTCTATATTCCCCTTAAGGGGGGAAGTACAATTAGAAGGCCTAAAATGAGGCCTATCTTTGAGAGTGGATTGCGAGTAGGGAAATAAATGAATGTTAGCGATTCTTTATGTATGTTATTAAGGATTTAATGAAAATTAATTATCAGTGACATTTTTTAAAAATTTTGCAATTTAGCCCAATTATTATAAATAATGTGAAGTCAATTTTTTAAAGCAGCACTTCGCGCCGTGCAGTCCCTACGTCCATGATCACGTCTGAAACAAAAAAAAACAGGACATTAAATTTGAAGGTACAGCGCACAACATGAATTAATTCGTATGTAAAAATAATGTTTTTTTTCACAAAAAAATTTGAAGTTGAAAAAAAAAATTAAAAAAACCCTATTTTTTTCGACTTTGTTTATAAAAAAAACATGTTATAACAAACAAATCTAAAAAATTTTTCTATTCATGTTGTGGAGAATTTAATTATGAACATAAAACAGATAACCGGAATCGATTTGAATGAAAACTCTGTAGAAGCATTTAAAGTTCAACTTTGACATGTTCAGCCATTTGACATGCACTCACTGAATTGCGTATAACTTTTTAAATAAGTTCCGGACGGCTTTATGCTTTTAAAGGCTCATTCCCAGATACATATAGAGTAAATTAAGCCAACAAAATTTTTTTCGAAAAAACAAAAATTCAAATTGTACTTCCCCCCTTAAATAATCTTAAGGTTACTCCTGGAAATTTAATTTAGATGTCTTGGAATGTTTCCCTCAAATTTCTTCCATCTTACCGCGTAAGCTTGTTCCAGTTTTGTTAGGATGTTTTTTTTTACAACTTCCACCGGAAGAGTCCTACAAGTATTCCTGGAAGTTAACTCCGGTTTTTCTAGACTTGATCTGGAAGATTCTTCTGACTGACATTGGTAAATTCTAACGATTTATCTTGAAAGCTCCTTCCGAGTTCCCCCAGATGGCATGCTCCGGAAATGTCTGCCGATTTCTTCTGGAAGTTTCTCTAAACTTTTTCTGAATGTTTCTTCTTGATGTCGGGAGTCTGTCAGTTTCCTCTGGAAGTTTCTTATAACTTTCTAAGTTTTTTTTTCTGACTGCTTTAGGAAACTCTTTCCAACCTCTCCAAAAAGTTTCCGTCCATTCAAAATTTCTTTTAATTTATCGATAGTTCTTCACAAAATAAATTTTTGGATTTTTTTTTTCCATAAAGAAAGTATATTTGACATGCATTTTTTTAATTGTTACCTTACTAAATCGAAATAGCTTCCAAAGAATTTGGTGAAATTAGTGGACATTGATTCCCAGGATGTCACTAAGTAGTACTTCAATTAATTTTTTTAATTATGCCATTTTTGCAAACCCCCCAGACAGAAATCCTGGCTGAACCAATCGATGTCAGGTATCTTTACTCTAAAAAAAATCTTTTTTTCCTCGAACAAATCCTCGGCTATTACCATAAAATATATTGTTCTTCTAATGTAAAATTTTTGTACTGGGAAAATATTTCAGCAGCTCGAAGAGGGTTGATAAAAAAAATCCCGATTAAGTACCGGCAACATTGGGAGAGTTCAAGCTTGTTAGAATGACAGAAAAAAAATAAAGCAGGCTGAATTGTGATTGAACGGATTCAGCCTCCGTATTTAAAACATATTATGGAATGCAAAAAATAATAATATTGTTGCTGTTTTCAAACACGCACATAAATGCATTTTTACAAATGGGGATTTTTTTATCAGACGTAATAGACCGAATGGTATTAGAACGTTATGAAATTTGGCCCACCGGTAGAGTTTATGGTTATACGAATGAAAAAACAATTTAAAAAATTGGATAATTTCCTTATCATTTCACTAAAAAGGTTTTTTTTCTGCGATACTTGGTTCATGAGATATTGATTTTCAAAGTATCCGAATTTCGGAAAAATAAGAGAAGTTAAACCAAAATTTCCCGGGCCATTGGATTTTTGGTCATAACTTTAAACCGGAAATTCTGAAATTTTCACTCAGTAAAAAATAAAAGGCGTTGCAGCATAAAAAAATCATTAGATCAAATATCATTATCGAGGGAAATATTTTTCAGATTATTTTCGTCACAGACAAACAGACATAACACTCAACAGTTGTTCATCGAATAAGCAACGGTCAATTTAAAAGCAACTCAGGTGGTAGTACTGCCACCTGTGGCGCGCATAGTAAATTCCCTTGCGTTTGATGTTTACACACTACCGCCATCTGTTCAGCGTACTACCTACCACAGTGTACTCAACACATGGCGGTAATGTTTTAGCGACGATGTTTTACAATGAAAAATATTCAATGTGTTATGTCTGTTTGTCTGTGGATTCCTTATCATTCACTACTCTTTGCATATCTACAGTAATCTATGAACCTTATCTATCAATTACTTTAAAGAATACTAAATTTCAACAACTGAGTGAAAAGTTATTAACAAATGAGCAGTTGGTGTGTACAACTGTGCATGCCAAGCATGCCTGTGGGCAAAATTTCATAAAATTCTGAGACCAAACCCGTCCCCAAATGATTTGAAATTCAGTACACATAGTACAAAAATCGCTTCTACCCAGTTTTACCAATTTCTCGACAAAGCTTAGCAACGTGGCTCGTCTTGCCCCATATTGCAGTCTAATTGCCCCATGTTCCCCATACAACTCTTGATTTTAATTACTCCTCTTCACATGTTTACATTCGACTCCTTTGTTCTCGCACTTCCAGCTGATTATGTTTACAATACAATGCCAGCTGGTGCTTTCGCGTGTAACATGTGTGTCTGATAAACGCTGAAAAGATGAGAATTGCAAAAACTGTAGCTCTCCAATATCGTCGAGAACTTCTAAACCAGTGGTTTCAACATTTTCCGTTCCATGCACCCCTCTCGAAACATTTCTCAGCTACGACTCGAGTTGAAAACAATTTTTTTTTACGCTCAAATAGTTCACTCAGAAATAGATCCAATCCCAGTCGGATATGATTTTCTATCAACTCCGAGGTAGGCAACTCTAACTAAGCTGCAGGGAAGATTTTGTTTTGATGTTGGGGGATGTGCATGCGTTGAATAGATGGAAAGAAGATTGAAGAAGATTTCCTGCAAAAGGATTAAAAACTATGCGAGTAGATAATATTTTTAGTATTGAATCACTAGCATGAGATTTTTAGAGCATCGCGGGTTACTGAAATAATATAGTGTCATCAATTTGGGCATAATTTCTGACTGAAAACTTATAGTTACATGTTATATTTTCTCACGCATAATTCCCTTAATTGTATATCCAAATTCCCCCCTGGGGGTAAATTCACCCCGGTTGAAAACCACTGGTCTTAGCATTCAAAGAAAAAGCACTACTGGGGTGATAAAAAATTAATCAATAGTTGAAAATACAACTATGAAAATGGTTCCAATACTTCCGCAAAATCCGGAATATATCTATAAAAACTCACAAAATCCGCACCAAACTGTCTGTAAATGCTCAAAAACCAGTAAAATATGTACATTTTTCCCAAAATGCTGTATATATTTTTCAGATATCTATATCTGTATTTACAGATATCCGCATCGACATCATTTCAAAAAATCTGTTCCAATGAAATAAATCTTTTTATGGGACATAACTGGTAATAACCCTGCGATAATGTACGACATGTTACATATTCCATAATTAGTGCAGTACTTAAGCATTTCTAGTACTAACTGGCACACTCACCCTAGTATAGAGAACAATCTAATACACATTTCACACACCAGAGCGAGCCATACTATCAAAATACAAAAATACATCTACACTATTAAACTAATTGGTTTGAGTGTAAATTTCGATAAAGCATTCTGAGACCTCCAGAATGAATTTCTTTACATCAAACTCTCTGCTTTCGGTACGGTCAACCACTTTACCAGCAGATGAACGATCAGCACCGACCGATATGCGGCAGTCGCTTAGTAATCATTCTTGAATGAACTGCGTTTTTGTTACTTCTCGTGATCGTGACTGTGATTGTAGTTATTCGGCTGTAGAATCGGAAATCTATGCTTAAGATTTTCTTATCACTAAAGGAATAGTTTCTGCTCAACGTAGAAGGTATATCAATTTTATATGATTTATTTTTTTCATTAAATGTGTGCTTAAAAAATAAAAAAAAAATAAAACATCCATAATATTAAAATATTATTAGCAGTCAGTATCGTAAGCTCATGTTCAAATAAACTCCTTTAGATACAGGAGAGAGTCATATTATGAGCGATAGTTATACCGACTAGGGATTTTGTATCAAACGATTTATGCTGACATTGGTGTTTTCGTTCGATTGCATAGCTTGCTGCAATAAACAAACAGAGCATTCAGTCTGGTTAGCCGAATCAATTCTGTTGACTCTTGCTGTATGCTAAGCTAGTTAAATCGTGTGTCTTTTAAAACTGTGGCGAATCCGAATTTTCGTCAGAAGTGCAGGACTACAAATTGAATCATTTTCTGGCAATGAAAAACATAATGTAGTGTAGAGAAACATTTGAATACTTTATGAATAGAGGCCCCCCGTTAATCTAGTAAACGGTCCACTCGAGGATTTCCAAATCTGTGTGTGTATGCAATCTAACCCCCCACTGGCCGGCAGTGGTATTATGGAAGAAAGCCATCTACAATTTCTCGTTTGCGGTAATTGGAGACAGCTTTAGTCCGGGTGTTAGAAGCTGACAGCTCTATTACAGATCCACCAACCCATTTCAGAATGTCTGGAAAGTCACGCCCATTCCGAGGTCACTTTCACTCACAATAAGCCCCGCATGTATGCATCACCGTTATCAAATAAATATTCGTTATACCTACATACACACTTCCAGGTTCGAAAATATTCTTTTCAAACGAGGCATGTATTTAGTTTAATTTTGATATTTAATTTGTAAAGAATAATTGGACAGCTCTCATCACATATCTACCATGCAGAAAAGATTTCGTTTTGCTGTGACTAGCTGCGCGCATACTGAACAAATAGAAAGAAGATTGATGACGATTCTGAAGATTTCCTGCAAAAAGATGATCCGCGATGCAAGTAGATGCGAGAAATGAAAAAAGATGTTTCGCTAGTGTGAGATTTTTGAGCATCTAGAATTGAGATTTAGACGCCTCCTTCGGTTGTGAGCAGAAATTTCTTCCGTGAGACATAGGAAGTGGAACACTTTTTCACCTTTCCTGATAAGTTGATTCATCTGATATGCTTCAAAACTTGATCTACAGTTGAAAAAAAATGATTCTGTATCGTTTTTGCAAGGATCCTGCTGGTGTTCAGGAATATTTTTGTTGAGAAATATGGAAAATAAGTATAGTTCCTTAGTGGTTATGACCTTCCGGATTTCTTGTGTGTAAATAGTTGATGTGCAAATCAGTTCAGATCTGTGGAAAATCGTAAAATAAGACAATTACCGATGGAAATTGGCAAGATGTCCAACGAAAAATACTTTAATTTGCGTTGTGGAAATCCTTATTCTGATGTAAACAAACGGCTTGGTTGACGTTTTTTCTCAAGCTCGCGTGGCGCATTCTGCGTTGGTGGTGCATTAAAAAGGCCTATAGAAAAAATAATGAACATTTCAATGCAGTCATCAGCGGTACGGCGTGGCTTTGTCATAATGTGTCAAAAAGAGCATTGTACAACTTTTGTATCGATTTGTCGAATACATCTCTTGATGTTATCAGTTATTTGGATACAATCAAAAGCTCTCGAATAGTCGAATGTTTTGGATCACTAGCTGACACCCATAATAAGAATCTATTGGACAGCTTTGAACATGTTTGCATTCGGTTTGATTGAAAGTTGAAAAGTTCAGATTTTTAGTAAAGCTACAGATTTCGTCGTTTTTTAACGGCTTTAATGAAGAGACCAACTTTCTAGCCGGCGCCGGTGGTGTAGTGGTAAGCGTGACTGCTTTCTAATACCCCAATGGATCTGTGTTCAATCCCAGCCGAGGTGGGTGGGATTTTTCTGAGGCATAAAAATCTCTGGTCACGTCTTCCTTCGGAAGGGAAGTAAAGCCGTTGGTCCCGGGCCCATGTGTGTTGAATGAATGGGTGCGATATCCTCGCAGGTGTGGAAGCTGCCTTCCTGCACATTCGATTGCTGTCAAGGGATGGCAATCGATGTCCGTCGGTGATTGGCACTAGACTGCGGGACAGAGACCAACGTTAAATAAATGAAAGAAGAATAAGACGAAGAAGACGAAGAAGAAGAAGATCAACTTTCTATATTGAAGCATTTCGGAGTAAACTAAAAAAATTAAAACATGTTATCTTTAAAATTCAATATACCTATGCTAAATGAAAAATGTTGTTTTTTGTCGAAAGGTGATTCTTATGAAAAAAAAAACTCCGCTGAACATTTTGGCGTCATCCGATTTTGAAAAAAAGTGGGAGCGTTTCGAGATATTTGCAATTTAAGTTTTCAAATGCAAAAATCGCAAAGTTGGTAACACTAGGGGCAAGACGGCTGTACTCAGAGCATGCTTGGCATACACAGTTTTGGTCACGAACTGCTCATTTGCTAATAACTTTGCACACAGTTGACGGAACATAGTTCTTTTTGAAGCAGTAGATAGAATAGAGTGTAAGCTTGTTATAGATATGTAAAAAAAAAAGTATATTTTAATGCTAGTAGTAAACTATGTTTGTTTTTCCGTTGTAAAAATGAGGTGAGAAATTCTCACTACACATCTCGGAATTTAAGTGTTAAATTGATTAGTGTTGATTCAAATGTTAAGCTTTACCTAATCTTTGCATATCTATAGTAAACTATGAGTCTAATTACTTTAAAAGAAAATAAATTTCAACATCTGAGTGAAAAGTTATTACCAAATGAGCAGTTGGTGTGTACAACTGTGCATGCCAAGCATGACTCAGAGTTAATATTTTCACAGCGAGTAAATTTGAGTAACTCATATTTACTCAAAAGTGATCAAAGCAGTCTCATATTTATCCATAAATTAAAAATTAAATAAGTATAAACATACACGGATAGAAATCTCCTTATACCTTTTGGCAAATTTCCAATGCTGATTATTCATAAAATGTATAAGTCAACTAATAAGCAGACGCCTTGCAAAAAGTTAATAAAGATCATGTGTCAAATGAAATGTATAAGCGGTCACACATACCTTTTATGCATTCTAATAGGACCTATGTGGTTTGTCCTATGGAATGTATAAGGCTGATGCTTTGGCAAAAATGTATAAGTGAAACACATGAATTAAATAATTGATTTTCGTTTCGTGTACATTATCTGTCAGAGTGTCGGAGTGATCCTATTGGTATTTTATTTTGTATTCTTGCATCAAATACTCATTAATCCGTTTGTATTTCTTTTCAGTGTGAATGTTTATTCTTGTATGCGTGGTCTCTACTATGGTGGGACAATAAAGTTGAAAATCAGAAAAAGATATTTCTGATATGATCCCGAGAAACGAACCCGTTATTTGGCGTGATTTATGATGAGTTGCCAAGGATGTATTATTTCAATTGTTAATTTCAGCTTCATACATATATAAATAAGTTAAAATTACTTGCGAATTCTAGTTTTGATTGCTCTGATAGAACAGTGAATTTGTATATGTGACTAAACAATGATCTTTCCATCAACCCATCAGCTGGAAATATTTTGAATCTTGTTGGTGGGTATGCTATCTGCAAAAATGTTCACAATGGAATGCCTACCATATGCATTATCAAGACGTCAAATTATGGTACAGCCATAGAGGTAACTCTAAGACCACTGGGTCCCGAAGAAAATCATTATTATTTTTGGCTCACTCAGTACCAGAACAACGGTCCCAAGCAGTCCCAAGCTATTTAACTCACCTCTGCATGTTCTGCATGAATCCACACACCCCTGATGTTATCTTTCAAACTTTCATAGCGAATCAAAACAAACATAGTGTAGTAATAGAATTTCAACTAGAATAGGGTACGTTAATCGTTTGCTTGGGACCAATAGGCTACTAAAGTGGTGAGCCAATTCAAAATCGTTAGTTTCGTATTGATTGTTGGTACAACTCTGGGTACAACTCCATGTTCACTTGAAAATCCAATAATTATCATCGTCAACCAATAATAAGCATACACAGATTTGCATGCTGCGGAATATAATGTTGTTGAATGATGGACATAGATTTTCCTCGTCAAACGCTAATAGGAAGAGGAGACAATTCGCTTCTTACTCTTTCATCTCTATCTCTATCTCTGTCTATCTCTATCTGTATCTATCTCTATCTATATCGATCTGTATCTTTATTTTTCGCACTTCAAATCAGCCAATCACGAGCTGGTTCACGTTTGACAGAAAAGTCGTTCGTTTTTGCAACCGCATTACCTCCTCTTCCTCTTAGGTCAAACGTCTTTGCTTGACAATCGTGAAATGCACACAAAACAAACAGGTTGCTATGTCATCGTGCATTGAATATTGAGCACCTCGAGTTACTCAGAATTGCTCAAAATTTACTCCAGTATGACTCATTATCAAAAGCTGTCTTACCCCTAGTCCAAAATCCTTACTAAAACGGTACCCAATGCCGCCTGTATCTGTAATGGTTGCAGAGATATATAACATTGAAAACTGGTGTTTATTAGAAATCGCCAAAAAAGGGGATGGGGGGACCACCGACAAACCGACATGAAACTTAAACTTAACTCTTGATCGAGAATCCATAACGGCGGATTCAAATGTGCAGCGATCCCATTTGTCAAAACCATAGAAATTTGTTATCTAGATAAAAATAATTTGCCCGGAATAGACTACACGAACCAACTCATACATTTTATATGCGTGTTCATGGCTAGGATACACAATTTTCGCGAACACGGCAGCAGATGTCAGTTTTGTGCTTTGATCATAAATTTGATGATACTTTGTATGATCATTCATGTCAGTTTGTCGGTGTTACGACTTTGGATTTTCCAATATTGGTCCACAATAAGTTATTCCACCAACTTTGGTTCAAATCGGAGAGGGTCGATGTAATTTTGACAAATTTACTCGGTCACTTGAGATGGAATGACCGAGGGGAGCGACACATCTAAATCTCAATTCTAGGTGCTCA